TGAGTGAGGAGGTGAGTGAGTGATGAGTGAGTGAGTGTGAGATGAGATGAGATGAGTGAGGAGGTGAGTGAGTGAGTGAGTGAGTGAGTGAGTGAGTGAGTGAGTGAGTGAGTTGAGAGGAGTGAGTGAGTGAGTGAGTGAGTGAGTGAGTGAGTGAGTGAGTGAGTGAGTGTGGTTGTGTGAGAGCTATCTATCTATCCATCTATCCATCCATCCATCCATCGATCTTTGTGTGTATGTGTGTGATTGAGAGTGTCAGTGAGTGAGTGAGTAAGTGACGGAGTGAGTGTGAGGAGTGAGAGTGAGAGAGTAAGGGAGTGTGAGTGAGTGAGTGAGTGCCAAGGGACGCCAAAGCATACATCCGAACCAGGGCGTACATCCGACCCCTTGGCAATGCACATTGTCCCACACCTGCCACGCAAAATGCACATTGTCCCACGCCCGTCACGCAAAAGAGGCGGAGCCCAAGGGACGCCAGGGCGTACATCCGACCCCTTGGCAGTGCACATTGTCCCACCCCTGCCACGCAAAAGAGGTGGAGCCACGCCTGCCACGCAAAAGAGGCGAAGCCCAAGGGACGCCAGGGCGTACATCCGACCCCTTGGCAACGCACATTGTCCCACACCTGCCACGCAAAATGCACATTGTCCCACGCCTGCCACGCAAAAGAGGCGAAGCCCAAGGGACGCCAGGGCGTACATCCGACCCCTTGGCAATGCACATTGTCCCACACCTGCCACGCAAAATGCACATTGTCCCACGCCTGCCACGCAAAAGAGGCGGAGCCCCAAGGGACGCCAGGGCGTACATCAGACCCCTTGGCAGTGCACATTGTCCCACGCCTGCCACGCAAAAGGGGCGGAGACCCAAGGGACGCCAGGGCGTACATCCGACCCCTTGGCAGTGCACATTGTCCCACGCCTGCCACGCAAAAGAGGCGGAGCCCCAAGGGACGTTGGGGCGTACATCAGACCCCTTGGCAATGCACATTGTCCCACGCCTGCCACGCAAAAGAGGCGGAGCCCCAAGGGACGCCAGGGCGTACATCAGACCCCTTGGCAGTGCACATTGCCTCCCACGCCTGCCACGCAAAAGAGGCTGAGCCCCAAGGGACGCCAGGGCGTACATCAGACCCCTTGGCAATGCACATTGTCCCACGCCTGCCACGCAAAAGAGGCGGAGCCCCAAGGGACGCCAGGGCGTACATCAGACCCCTTGGCACTGCACATTGTCCCACGCCTGCCACGCAAAAGCGGCGGAGCCCCAAGGGACGCCAGGGCGTACATCAGACCCCTTGGCAGTGCACATTGTCCCACGCCTGCCACGCAAAAGCGGCGGAGCCCCAAGGGACGCCAGGGCGTACATCAGACCCCTTGGCAATGCACATTGTCCCACGCCTGCCACGCAAAAGAGGCGGAGCCCCAAGGGACGCCAGGGCGTACATCAGACCCCTTGGCAATGCACATTGCCCCACGCCTGCCACGCAAAAGAGGCGGAGCCCCAAGGGACGCCAGGGCGTACATCCAACCCCTTGGCAGTGCAGATTGTCCCACGCCTGCCACGCAAAAGCGGCGGAGCCCCAAGGGACGCCAGGGCGTACACCCAACCCCTTGGCAGTGCAGATTGTCCCACGCCTGCCACGCAAAAGCGGCGGAGCCCCAAGGGACGCCAGGGCGTACATCCAACCCCAGGCCTGCCACGCAAAAGAGGCGGAGCCCCAAGAGACGCCGCCCCAAGAGACGCCAGGGCGTACATCCAACCCCTTGGCAGTACACATTGTCCCACGCCTGCCACGCAAAAGAGGCGGAGCCCCAAGGGACGCCAGGGCGTACATCAGACCCCTTGGCAGTGCAGATTGTCCCACGCCTGCCACGCAAAAGCGGCGGAGAGTGAGTGAGTGAGAGTGTGTGAGTGAGTGAGTGAGTGAGAGTGAGTGAGTGTGTGTGTGAGTGAGTGAGTGTGAGTGAGTGAGAGTGAGTGTGAGTGAGAGTGTGTGAGTGAGTGAGTGAGAGTGAGTGAGTGTGTGTGTGAGTGAGTGAGTGTGAGTGAGTGAGTGAGAGTGAGTGTGTGTGTGTGAGTGAGTGAGTGAGTGAGTGAGTGAGTGAGTGTGTGTGTGTGTGAGTGAGTGTGAGTGAGTGAGTGAGAGTGACTGATGGAGGGAGGGAAGGGCGGGAGGGAGCGAAGGAAGGAGGAGCGGATACAGAACTAAAAACAAAAACCCCACACGTCAATGTGGGGAACTAACCTGATCCGACATCACTCGCTTTGAAAATGAACAATCCTCCTAGCCTTGGGTGATAAGGACCAGAAAACAAGCTTGAAATGGACAGGCCGGCTTCATCTTGACCCATGTGTCCCATTTTTCGCAGCTCCCCAGTCCCCAGACCTAAACTTCGCGTGCTGGACAATCGCCTCAGCCGCAGAGTGATCAACAACTTTCAGCTCGGCAGCGAAAGTGTGCAACGCTATCCATGCTGACTTATCATGATCAAAAGGGCTCAAAATGATTCTCAAAGGTATTTCAGTTCGAGCAGTTTGATTCTCCGAGAAACACTCCTGATGATCAGCACATTCATACATCCACAACATAAGCTACTGCATCTATGAGGTTTGAGAATACAGTGATATCAAGTTCTATCTCCAATATCTGCTTGAGGCTTTGTATCGCAAGCGTCGCTTGGGGATCCGACATCATGCCTTCAAAGCTTGGAGCTCTGGTCCTAAGCCAAAGGGAAATGACGGAAATGACATCTGGCAGAAACAGTGCTGGAGAAAGGCTCAAAGGGTCAAATGGGGGCATGGCCACCCTCACCACCAGTCGCTGCCCAGATCTTTTTCTGGGAAGAGCCCGAATGACACTGATCCGCTGTGTGACACCCAGCAAGGAGCCCTGATGTCTTCATCGCTTTCACTCTGCAGATCATACCAACCATGCCTTCATAAACGTAGCCTTGTTGCAGATGTCTGGACAAGAACAAACCCCTTCATCATCTTCTTCGAAGGACTGACCACAAACAACAGCGCAAACAAATGAGCATATATAGTAACTTATATAACATTACACATTACAATCTAATTACTATTGGAATCTTTATTTCAAATATGTTCAAATCACACTTTAGCCATGCCACATCAAGCGGCCCCCTGCGCTAAACTTTCCTATGACCTCACGCGGCCGCTTGGTAGCCTTCCCAATGTCCAGTCTTGGGATCCTCGCGGAAGGTGGCGGCCATGAAAAATCAAGAAATCTGCAGAAGATCTGCTGAAGGAACAGTGACCAAGTTGTGACCAGATCTGCTGCTGAACTCTGAGGTGATGACATAGTCGCACTCCACTAGCCTTCCATCCTGCACTTGACTCACTTAGAAATCTATTTGAACAGTAACATCACAGTACAGTTCAGGTATCAATCCAACCATGTAAAATCAACAGATTGGAAAATACCAAAATGGATCAAAACGGTATGAAACGGTGGTGTTCAAGTCACTTTCAAGCAATTTGCATCAGTGCTGCCTCGTACTTCAGCAAATCAAACTTGCCAGAGCGCAGATAATGGGCTGTGGTGTAGGAGCCATCAGGTGACCTTGGTCCATTGCTTCAGCTCCCAGGGTCCCAGCTCCGCCAACAGATTGCCAGGTCCCCAGGTCCACAGTGGTCCACAGTGGTCCACAGTGGTCCACAGTGGTCCACCATGGAGAAAAATCACAAACTTTCAAAGCCAAGCAACAGCTTATAAGATCTGAGTTCAGAAGGTTGCTTTCCATCGATGGAGCCATCCTGAAGGCGACCAGGATGACCAGGAGTTGGGATGAGATCGCTCCCCCATATCATGACCTTCTTTTGTCCATGCATCATATATAGTCTATATAGTTTTCATGGTCTAGACATATATTGAGCATCAACAAATCACAAGAAACACCCTCAAAGCTTAATGGAGTGTTAGCTATTGCACATCAGACACATCAACCTTCACCAAGGTCAACCGCTGCGCCAAGTCACAGGCTTGATCTTCGGATTGTTCGAGAAGGCCTTGGCCTCGACCCCTCCATTCTTCTCCAACACCTACGGCGCTGACGGCGCTGGGCACTGTTTTCACTACAGAGTGCAGGTCCTGCCCTGTACCACTCATGTCTCCGACCTGAAGCACTTGCTTGAAGGGCTTGATATCGGGTCGGATTGCCAAACAAGTGTCGTCCAAGCGATTCACCTGACATGTCACCGAGAATCTCTGCTTTGGATGCCTGGAATTTACGGGAAAAAAACTGCCATCCGTCATTTAAATGTTCAAATCCGATTGGAGGTTTCAGCTTCTGATATCCATTGCATTTTGTTAACAATGGAACGCAAAAATTGACTCTCCGAGTGTTTCAAGAATTCCCCCGTTTTGAGGCAGGGAATCAGCAGCAGTGCCTGATCAAAGTCATTGAGTCGCCTGTCACGCTCTTCTTCATACCTCACTTTGGCCTCAAGAACGAAGAAATCTCCTCATTCTGGTAGTCTGCAGAAAGCATAATCTAGTAACGAGACGGATCATTCTGAAAATCATCATACATAAAAATTGTGGCAATAGATCTTCCTCTTGCCACCAAGAAACTGTCACCCATTCGTAGGGCGTCAAGAGATACTCTGTTGCTACGACGTTGGGCTCGGCACCAGCCTATTGCCAAAGAAGCAGAGTGGAGGATACAACTCACTCCAAGAAGAAATACTGTCAGTGTCCAATCACAGTACAAACTTCGAGCAACTTGTGAAGTGCTGTCCGATGGAAACGCTTACTTGACTTTGAGCATCCATAAAGAAAATATTTGGTTCTTCAAGTTGTGGACAGACTTGGATGATACGTTTCGACAGCTTGGCCGATGCCAGAAAAGAGGATCTGTGTTCAAAGACATTCCTTGCAGTTACGAAACCTCATTGAATACATTGTCAATGACACTGTTTCATATTTAAAAAATAGCAAGTCTGCATGTTTGCAAAGCAATTGTGGTACACGAACAATTTCATACAGTGCATATTCTTGAAAGGCAATTGCCACCTGTATCTGCACTGGGAAATATCTCGGACCATCTCAAACCTCATGGGACTATCCCAAATTCTTGTGGACATGGAATTTGGCAAAGCCATGGATCCGGCCTTAATGAGCTTCTCTACGAAGTCAGCGGAGCCACACATGGTGGCATTGAAGAGAGGGGTGAGGCCATCCTACAGCGATGAACTCAGCGATGATCCCAGGCCCAGCTGGCGGTGTAGAGTCTATCTGTTTGGGAAATTCCACATTTCAGACGAGAGAAGCTAAGCAGACAGGAACTGCCGCCACTCCATCCGGCCCCCCACGAATCCAGCAAAAATATATCAGACCCATCAATTGAACAACTGAGCATACTGTTCTATCTGTTCTGAACAGGCTGGCATTTCTTGGTTTGCACTCCTCATTTTTCCAGTTCACGTTGGGCTTCTTCTTGAGTACACGTTCCAACCTTCAATGAACAGAATCCACAAGGTTCTGCATGCTGCCATCATGCTGTCATGCTAAAGCTACATGCAGAAACACCACCGCTGTGTCTCAAGGCTTCTCCTGTAGAATCGTGGTATCCAGCTTGTCCTCCATGTTATTCTGGATTCTGGACAGATATTAGATGAGATCTGCTAGCAAGAGCAACAACAAAGAAACCCATAACAGTAGCAGTAGCAGATAGGGGCTTCGTTGCATCCCCAAAATCCAAACGACGGAGAATCTCACTCCTGAGGTCGATACCTTTTCGGACATTTACCTTGTTGAACCAGAAAACATGTTGAATCCATTCCCTAGTCATGTCAGTCCAACCGTTTAACCGAGGAATCAAGGAGGAAATCGCTCCAGGACATGTTGAAGCAAAAGAGACATGCTGTTGCTGCTGTTGCATCTAAATCGTGCATCAAAAAGCAACAGAAGGCAACACAGCGACTGTGTAAATGTCCGAACAAAGGTTGGCTGCAGCAACTTTGTGTACTCAGTCAGAATCTGTCATGTGGTTGCAGGTTGTTTGTGTTCCAATACAGGGATATCATGGGATATCACTGCACCCAATGAACGGGACCAGTTGCCCCATCCGCAGACAACAAAGAGCTCCAACTCAGGACTCATCTTCGCAGACATTTGCACCTCAAAACAGCCCATCCTATTGGATAAGAATACCATAGAATTGGAGGTTTCCTAACATGGGGAACCCATGGGGAACCCCCAAATCATCCAAAATTAGACCATTTTAGTATTGAAATGCATGTTTTACCCCCAATTGAATGCCTCTTGAAGCAATATCCTCATGATGAGTGGTGCATTCCAACGGCCTGAAATAAGGCTGGACAGTTGCTGTGAAGCATGGATCACAGCAATAAAAGCAATAAACATCAATAATTTCTTCATGAATTCGAACATGTTTGGCACACCGCGGCACACTTAAAGACTCAGAAACATGCAAAACATATCAAATCATAAAGTTTGGGGGGGCAAAACTCTGAAAAACTCTTCCACTACCATCAACTTCCATGGACTTCCTGGTTTCTGATTGGATAAACTTGGCAACTGGACGGTGGCAGCTTCCCTTGGCGCGATCAGCGGCATCTCGTCCTTGACGCCTGCCGTTGGGATGGATCCCGTTCTGGATTCAGAGGTGATCCCCAGGGTCGGTTTTGACGACCCAGGCGGGTTGCCAAAATTCACCGTTCGCAACAGTCACTGGCATCACTGGCAGTCAAGGTATTTCAATTCTTAGCATGCCAAGTCTTACCTTTGCCGGTCACTACTGTTATTGCTTGTTCAAAGCTTGCGCACAAAATTCATTTCATGTCTCCTGCACTTTCACAAATTTCACGTCGCAGCCCCTGCTAGTGACTTTGGTTGATAGATTTGATAGGGTTCCTGTATTGGATCACCATGATCCCCATGAAAAATCGGTACCGTATGTACCAGGAATGTACCATCTGTTTTCAACATCAACCACCAGATACACCAGGGATGTGGGGGCCTTTGCGCTGGCTCAGATTGCGCGTCAACGATGCGGATCGCCCCGGACTTGCTGGGCGATGCTGAAGCAAAATGGCCACAGCAATCAGATTCATGATGGATTCAGATCCTGGATTCATGTCAACAAAGTTATCCAAAGCTCACTGGGATCAACTCAGAGCCCCCCAGATGGCAATAGTTGGGAAGTTTGTTGGACTAACTGGGCGAACACTGCATGGAAGGTCCCAACTGAATCCAAAGTCGAACACAGAATGGCACTTTGAGTCGTGGCGTAGCATGTCATGAAAAGCTTCAATCTGTGGACTAGATTGAACATGATTGGACTGGGTTTAACCAAGCCAAATAGCTTCAGTGAGCTCCAGGTGTCCGACTGAGCAGGTGCCATGTTCAGGTGGCGAGGCAAGTACATGGCCTCAACCGGCAAAAGTCTTCAGCACAGTCTGGCGAAGTCTACAGGTATTTTACGATATTTTGCATGTCTTTGATTTCTGATCTCAGTATCGCTACAGCGAACACATTAAACCTTGAGATTGACATCTGCCAATGGACACAAATCTTGAGGTCTTTACTGGAGACGCTGTGGGGAAGAGCATCAAAGGTTGCTGCTCAGCATGTTGTAATGCCGAAACGCAAAGCTTCACCAACTTCACCAGGGCTCCTGCGGCACCAATGGCCATACGCTATACCCTTACCATACCCATACCCATGCCATACCCATAAACCAATAAAACCATCCATGTGCACAATGAGTTAAGTGAGTCAATTGTGATTGGATCAGAACGATAATCAACTGCATTGCACATGCTATTGTGATGGACTGCAATTGGAGATTGGAACGAAACTCCCCAACTGAAACGCAATACGACAATACGTTGATTGATCTCACCGTTCTCTCCTCCAGGTGGGGTAACGAAATTGTCCAGGAAAAGCCTACAGCGTAGCGTACTTGACTCCATTGACAGTGTGTCAGCAAAAACAATTGATTTCACAGAGGTCTAGTGAGTCTAGTGCAATTGTTTCCCCCGCAAGCAATTTCTCTGCTGGATTTTGCCTGATTCATTGCCATTCACTCCATTTCGACACTGCTTTCAAGGAAAGAACAAAGCTCTGCACCTGAACTCTAACCTCTGAATATTGTCAGTCTTGCTGAGTCTTGAGGCAGCATCTTTGCGTCTGAAGTTGATTCAATTCTTTTTCTGTGGGCCCACAGGACCACAGGACACACCTCAAATGTTCTTTCAAAGGTTCATCGCCTGGCTGCGACATTAACTCAGTCAATTTCAGTAAATGATAGACCGAGTCTCTGGAGTCTCTGCAGAAACCGAAGTCTCACACTGACAAGGACCTGCCTCCCTCTGGAAAAAGAAACTCTGACAGTGCTTCCGATACACCTGAGTTCTGCCAAGGCCAGGCAGGCGTTACAATCGTTACAGGTTTTATCATGTTTTTATGTTTTATCAGATTGTATCAGATTTTCCCAATTTTTCCCATTTTTTCCCACATATTTCCCCATGAAGAATGTCATATGGGCCTGGGTTTTCCGACCACTGCAGGTGACCTCAAAGGCTGTCACGCCCTCTTCGGCCATCAGCAGGGCTCGAAGACGTGTCAAGGCCTGCCGAGGGTCTGTTGGTCCCCCTGAACATGAAGTTTTTTGGGGGTATGGTGTATGGATCCATGGCCGTATCCAAGCAGTAAAAAATGAGGTTGAACATACCAATATACCAATATACCACCACCACCACCACCATGATGTTACAGTGGGGGTGGACTTATCCAATCTGGAAAGCAGAAAATGATGGAAAATTACCAATTGGTCTCGAAGAGAAACAACTATCAACTTCTCGAGTTTCAATGAGGCCAACCTCCATTCTTCGGGAAATGTCGGAAAATTGGTGTCAATAAGTTTGAATGACCAATTTTACGAAAGACCTCAAACTAGACCGGACACCAACGATCCCAAAGTATAGGCGTTCAAGTTGTGTGGAACCATCCACAGCAAATGGGGCTGATGGATGCTGGGTGTCCCAACGTTCTTAGCATCTTTGGAGAACTCTTGAGCCTTACGATTCAAAATGAATGAACTGGTGTCTGATGGATATGGTCTTCACAACGCCCTGAGTAGAATGGAAAACTGCAACTTGGCTGGAGCCTTCCACACTCCACTTTCCAAACAAGTCCACAGTATTCGCTCGGCATCAAGAGCAGCATGGTCATGTTCCTGATTTTCAGCGAGAAGCCTAGCAACCAGATTCCGATACAAGCATGCCAAAATATGCAAAATACCAAGCAAGAAGATCCCCAGCCCGTCATACTCCTTTTTGTGCCTTTCGAGCAGGGCCAACTCGATCCAAACTTCACCTTCATTGAAGTGAAGGGGAACTTCAAGCTAAAATGCAATTCTATGCAACTGATGCATGTTACCATAAACATCCATAAACATAACACACAATAGTACACGCTACCGCGAGGTGGTGGATCACGGTGGTGGTCTTAGGCATGTCTGCAAGACCAGACGACTTCGCAAACGTGTAGCTTCCATCTCACGTTTCAGAGACTCTACCTGCTGCAAGGCATCCTGTAACTCCTGCTTCAGCTTGGCATTTTGCGCCATCAACCTCAGATTGGCAAGGAATGGTGTGGCATGGGCCAGCATAGACCTTTGGCCTTAAACAACCTCCAAACCAAGTAGGAACTAAAATGATTGATTTTAGGGTCCCAAAAAAAGTTGCCACTAGCTAGGCAAGCAACTCGGCATTGTCCTCCCGCAAATGCTCTTCAACAGACTTTGGGCAGAGCACAGGTGCCGCCAGCATTCGCTCATAGTGCGCGGTTCTTGCAAGGTCAATCACTTCCGCCTGCAGATGGATTGCAACCAGCTTCTCCCATGAAGCGCAGTTTTCACTTCCAGCACCTTCACAACTTTGGCAGAATGGCTTTTTGGGACTCGGTTGACTCGGTTGACTCGGTTCCTCACGTGGCTCATCCTCACTGACCCCGGAATTTCCCAGCTCCGGGGGCAAGGAGCTCCGCCGTGATGCACCATCCCGCGCCCGCACCAAGCGGCGAAGCAGGTTCTTGCGCCGGGAGGTGATGGGCTGCTGGGAAGTCTTCCCCCCAGGGCTGGGAGGCACTTCTTCGGGCTCAAAGGCTGGGAGACGAGGAGGTCTGGGACACGGCTGGTCGTCAGGCCCCACGAAATCCACATGTGCATTTTTCACCAGATGCACCAAAGCACCAAAGTCAGTCTCACCAAGGAGCCAGGGGCGTAGACATCTCAAACGTGCCAGTATCAGGCGGTAGATGACAGAATATCCCTGATCAAAAAAGTGATCCCAAAGATGTGAAAGTGGCACCAAAGGGACACTACCAGCACACAAAGTGAGCAGCCAATCTGTGAAAAGCAGACTCAGCGAATTCTGCAGGTGTTCTGCCAAATGTGCTGAAAGGTCTGGCATCTCTTGATGAACCAGCTGAACGATTGTGAAGGAACGCACCTTCAACCCATGCATATCTGGAGCTTCAAACATGCTGCGTAGATCATAGTTCTGCACCAAAGCCACGAAAAGCCAAAATGCTGCTTCTTCAGCTCCAGCGTGCCACAGAAGGGCCATGACAATAAAATTCATGCCCTGAACATAGCCCACTGCTTCACTGCGACCTGACGTCTCTCCATCATTTGACGCAGAGGCCTCTTGTTGTCGATGCTCCTGTGCCGTTTCCCCATCATAAATGATCCACGCCTTTAGTAAATTTGATAAGGATTCACGGCCACAGCCATCCGCAAAAATGCATAAGGCGGGCCAGGTACGTCCCACATCCAACTCCAATTGACGTTCCTTTTCCACCGAGAAGTGTGGAGAACCGTTCTTTGCAGCCTCCAACAACGCCTCGTATCGCCCTGGTTGTATTACATCCTGCAGCCCCGCGGCCGCAGCCCAACGTTGGAAACGCTTGCAACGTACAGGTTCCCCAGGGGCAGCGGGTTCACGGTCACACGGACAGGCAGGAACGTGCCAGCTCCCTGAGATGTTGAAACACATTCGGAATGTACCAACCTTTGGCCATCACAGCGGTTGGGCTTGAGATGGTGAGCCAGGGCGGCCAACGCCCACACCTTGAGCCTGAAACATCGTTGCGCAAGAAGACGAAATAACTATAATTCTACTGGTATGTGAATTAGTTCAACAAACCTGATGCGTATTCTCAGTTCTCAGCCTATAGCGTCCAGATATGATGTGAACAGTGAATAGATGCCCACGCAAGTCTCCCTTTCTATGCTTAAGCTCTTTTTGACAGGATATCCCTTGCATATTTTCTGCTTGTCCCCTCATTCTATGTGCCAAGATTACTTGATATTATGTGCTGTATCGCGTGACTCCACATAAACCAAAGAGCAAATGCATCTACTCTCGAGCCAGTCTTTCTCCTGAAATTTTCGAAAATCTAAAAAAACATAAACATCCTCTGCTCTCTAACTGCCCACGTCCAAGGATGGCCCGGCTTCCTCTATTCCAGGCTCCCCACGATGTCTTTCATCTCTTGTAGAACGAGCAACTCCAAGGAAGAACTGGCACTAGCCTCAGGGTGCTCAGTGTGTTGCATGGTACATGACAATTGGATTTTCGTAGCTTGCGACCTACTTGTGTGATTTCATTTCACAAAACGCGAATCATTCCAAGTCCCTGGCAAAGTGCTTGGAGTGCACTCGTTGCGCCACCTTCTCTCAAGCCATCCAACGAGCAAACAGAGAGAGAGGGAGGAGGACGCGACAGGAATAGGGTCAACAGGTCAACTGGCTCGTAAATTGAAAAAGAACATGACAGGTGCTTCCCATGCCAGTCCCTGCTAAATCCAGTGCCTCCAAACGTAGTTTCCGCAAGCAGCCTGACAGCATTGAGAAAGCAAAGCTCGACTTGCGATGAAGTCCGATGAAGCCAGGAGTCTTGGATGTGTTGGTTCCAAGGCCACCCCAACTGCCGGAGGAGGTTTGTTCACAGTGGGTGGATGGTTCCTTTGTGACTTCCAACTCATCCCACGTACGCCTCCCAAAACCACCCTGCAGCTGGCCTGTTGAGCTGGATGCAGATGTGGGCCTTGGACTTCTGCGAACACGCATAGGGACCAGTCTCCCTCTCAGAATCTGAAAACCACGTAAACCAAGTGGTAACACTACTGGAAATCGAATCTGGACCACCAAAATCTAAGGAACCCCAGGTCTTCCGCATATCACTTCACAACTGCATTTGTCATCATAGTTTAAAAAAAAAGCGAAAATCACTCAGGGCTCTCCGACTCATGCTCAGCTGTGGCAGCCTCTCATGTTCTTGTGGAACCATGAAATGATTACTTCACGGACAAAGGAGAAGAATCAAGGAACATGTCATTCACTTGCACCATCAGACTTCATCAGGTGAACGCAGCAAATGCACAAAGAGGATTTCACAGCAAGACTTGAGAAAGCAACGGCAAACGGACACAGGACATTGCATGTTACAAGTGACTACCAATTACCAATCCTGCATGGCATAGGAAAAAAGAACTGCCAAGCATTGCTTCAATGACAAGCCTCAGCCTTCTCAGCTGAAACGTCAGCACTTTCCACTTTCGCCTGCGGCACAGTTCTGAATACATCAAGGTTTCGCATGACAGGCCCAATCTATCTATGCAGCAGTACACACTAGTAAACTAGTACACAACATCTCAAATTAGATCCTTTGTTGTTCCTCTGTCATTCTGCCTTAAATTCGAACACCCCATGTCGAGGCAACCTCGTCTCGTTCACTGATGTTCTGGACAGCATGAAGCACTCCTTGCCGCACAAAGTTCAACCTGAGGTTCTTGAAAGTCTCAGCACTTTCCACACCCTGGAGCTTGTCCTCCATATCGATCTGGCTACATGCTAGTTTGTTGCGGTATGTTGCGGTCTAGAAGTGACTTGTTGATATGTGTCTTATTTGTTGCCAAACACTCGCCCTCCGGGCTGCCATACAAGTAGTCGCTGTAGTGATGCTCCAGCATCCGCTCGGTGATCAGCCTGTTAGCTCAACAATGCTTGGAGAACAAAGATCCCTTCAGGCTTCACAAAAAATGGCAACAGATCCTACTCACACGCCACATCACTCCACAACGAGCAGTACCTGCAATCAAAGTTACCACATGATCACTCTTGGCAAACAGGGTTTGGCATCTCCCGAGCAGCGCACAGGCAGGACAAGGTCACAGAAGTTGATGGCTCGGTAAGCAGGAGACTGGCCTCACCCCAAGGCTTCCACCAGTCCCCAAAAGTTCCAACCACAGTCCACCACATATCAACGTCCAACCACCACAGTCCGGTGACCAATTCAGTCAACCCATGTTTTTTTTACATCCAAGAAGCCAGAAAGCTTGCCAAGTGCACAGGATCCAAGTTTTTTCGAAGCAACCTCAAGATTGCACTCCAACATTCGAGACAAAGCGCGGACCAACTCAAATATTGCCCAAAGAAGTATCTCGATCTTCAAACATTGTATCCTCTAAACACAACCCGACTGCTTTTCCGCTAGTCCCATCATTTGCCATGGAAATATCAGCAGCTTCCGTGGGTGCCTTCAAGTCCCCATGGATATCCTGAATCGAAATTTCCATGACCAGAATGTCCAATGACCCGTGCATGGCTGAGTTGGATGCTGCGGCCGCTCTTGGCCTGGGCACGGCACTGAAGCAACGAGACATACTCAGCTGTCAAAAGCATTTCCACCTGTTCCTCGCACAGGACGTAATTCACACGCCAACCATGCGTCTGGTAGGCTCTAAAGTCTTGGAACCCAAGTCCCACACCACATAACACGAAGGTCAATAACAGGGAGATGCAAATCGATTGCACAGATGGATCCATCGAGGCCTTTCATGGTGCAGCGATTGATCAATCTGAAGAAAAATGCCAGGAAAGCCAGCCACTTTATGTGAGACCTTGTAATGAGTTCATCGTACTTGGTTAGAACACATGACCTGCCGGAACAAGAATTATAATGGCGTTTGGGGCTGATCCTAGGCTTCGCAGGTTCCTCATAACAAGTGTCAGCGTTCAGAGCTTCCAGACAAGATATGACAAGATCACAGATCTTTGATTTACTAGGGAATTTGGAATGCACATGTTCAATTGAAACAAAGTGTCACATCGCAAACAATTTCTCACAGGAACCATGGTTTGTGCTTTCAGCATCTTTTGACCTCGTCACCGCGAAATCATCATCGGTTCGTATTCACAACATACCGCCTGACAAATGTCCAGCAACATTGGCACCATGGCGTCGCTCAGCGCCTAACGGAGTTGAAGGAAAGAGATTGGAACAGAAGATTCTCAAACCATTCTCTAGATTCTCTCTCCATTCTCTCTCCCCAAAGACTTTGAATGATCTTTGAATGACATGCATCTATGACGGCTGAGCTAGCCGAGTGCTCCCTGGCTAGCTACGTCTGCATCGTCTGCATCCGCACTAGGAGTCCCTGCATCGAGAAAGTCTGGGTGCTGTCGGAAGACGGCCATTCGACGTTCCTGACGTTGGAGCTTCATTCCCACAAGACGGTGTCCAAATTCCATAAATGTTCTTTCGATGGAATCGAACAATAAATATTATATAAAATTGGTTAACCTAAAATATAGTATCAAAATGTTGGATTCATCGTGTTGGTTGATTTCACCTGATATATTGTATTGGCTGCCGATTGCCGGGAGGGCAGAAGTCTCACAACCGGCTGCTGCCTCGCACATACAGCCAGACTCAGTGAGCAAGACCGAAGGTAGAACCTGAGACAACGTGGGCTGGGCGTGAAAAAATATCACAATCCTGGAACTCTTGATTAATTTTTCTCACTGATTCGGTGAAGAAAGCAAGATCTCAACTCTACCAAAAGTAGCAGAAAATCAGGACCCTGACGGATGCCACCAGCCCAAGTACTCGAATGAGACCACCGCTCGACTGCAGGGCCGCAGTGAATCAGTGTCCAACTCACGACTTCAAAAGCATGCAAAAGCATGAGCAGACTACCAGTTGTCCAACAGCCCAGAACTCACGCAGCCGTTAACCGATGTTAACCGTCTCTGAAATGTGCCAGCTTGCCAAGCCTTTTTTCCAATGGAGGATTTCTAGAATTGATTCGAACAAACCACGGTGCGAAACGAAACGTTCGCCCTTGGGACCATCACTCAGTAGGAAGCCTCCTATCAAAATCTACATTTCAGAGTTGCGCAAAGTAGTAGGAAAAATAGATGCATATACATCATATACAGATTCAGAAGTCCAAAATCAGCATCGCAGTGCATTGCTGAACTTGGAGACTTTCGCATATGTTTCAAATATATCCGGAACCTCAGTTGCATGAACTCTCCAAATTTGCCGCAGCTGAAGTCCGCTGCCTGAGCAGATCCGACTCCGCCCACCACATCCATTCCTGGCAGTTCAAGCCAAGCTAACGTCATCTTAGTGGCCCAAATCATCACTCTCTCTCGATACTGTCCATCTCTTCAGAATGCGCAGAATTTCCTTGCAGTGTTCAATACTGCAGAACAGCAGCCAAAGATTGGCTTTCCTAAAGTCCTAGTCAACTCGAAACTGGAAGGCTATAGCTAACTGTGGCAGTCCTCCACCAGTGCAAAGGAACCCTCAAAGTATTACATCCAGAATGTATCTAAAGAGCTGATAGAATGTCCATCCCAATGCTTTACCTTTTTTCTGGCTATGGCGGAGATACTACTCTTAGTGTGAGAAATGAGATCTGGCAAGTCAATCCACCCAAACTGGCCTAGCAACATCTGACGGACGAGGCTGCAAATGTCCTGCAGGGCTGAGACGAGAACGAGAAGTGGGAAGGGTAGGTTGCTAGCCCCAATCTGGTTTCCAAGAGGTTGTTTACGACACATGGAGATGAGATGTGTTGAAAACTATGATGGGATGTGATGGGATATGTGCTGTACGGGCATGAAAAGTATGAAATGAAAACCCGCTGATTCCAAGGTGTCTATCAGGTTTTTCTGTGCAGCAAATGGCCGCTCCTGCTGCAG